TTAGCAGCATTAAAAATGAGTTTTTCTGTAGGAAACAGTATATTTTAAAAAGAAATGAAGATCTTTTTTAAAGGTTAAAGCCTCATTCGATTCTATATTTTAGTGTCCCATTGGCCCCAGTAGGCTTTCTCGGATCATGTCTGATCCTCATTGGCCCTCTCCGTCGAGCCACCTTGCATCAGCCATCTCCAAGTCCTTTGGCAGAATACAGGTTAGACTCAACCGGATGTTTTTGGCATGTTTGCAGCATGCATGCACAAGTTGTTCAGGCCGCACTTCCTCCTACAATGTATCTTTTCTCTGGAAATTATTATTGAATATGTTAAAGCAGTAATGAAATGCTTCTTCTAATCATGTGGTTACTAAATAAATAATTTTTAAAAAATAAAAAATAAAAAGTAAAGTAATCCAGCATGGTGGAGAATGGTTGTAATCCTGGTGTTCAGAAGGCTGAATTAAGAGGACTGCGGTTTCAAGGCTAGGCTGGACTATATGCATAGTAAATTCTAGGTTAGCCTAAGCTACATAGCAAGACCCTGTCTCTAAAAACCAAGAAAATAAATAAAAAGTAAAATCATAATATTTATTTACTTATGTATTTATTTAAGGCAGGATATTTATGTATTTATTTAAATCATGCTGATCTGGAACTCACTCTGCAGCTCAGGCTGGCCTTGAACTCACTCCTACCTCAGCTTTTGGAGTACTAGGATGACAGGTCCATAAAAACAAAACAAACAAAAACTCCTCTAATGAGGTGAACCTTAACTCTCTTGAGAAGGAACCAGAAAGAAGGGACCCACTTATTTCTAGTAAACAGTTTTAAATGTGTACTTATGAGGAAGTCTTATGGGGATTACTTGAGGCAGGCAGATGTGACAAGGAAGAGCAATTAAAGTCATCCTGCTAAGGAAACATGCCCCCTGATCTTTGTTAACTGCAGGAGGGCAGAGCTGAGTAATGGTCATTCTTTCAGTTCCTTAACTAGGTCATATTCTCCCCTGCTCATCCTTCTACAATGGTCCTCTGTGCTTGGACCATTCCCTGACCGAAAATCTCCTCCACCTGCCTAAGCATCCTAGTTCTTTCTTCTGCCTTCAGTTAACCACACTCCTTTTTTAAAAAAATTTTTTTCTATTATTTTTATTTCATGTGTGAGTGTATTGCCTGCATGTATGTGAGTGCATCCGTGTCGTGCGATGCCACAGAGGTCAGAAGAGGACTTCGGATTCCCCTGTAACTGGAGTTAAGGATGGTTCGTACCCACCATGTGGGTGCTGGGAATCGAACCCAGGTCCTCTGAAAGAGCAGTCAGTGTTCTTAACCTCTGAGTCATCTCTCCAGCTCCTAACCACACTCCTTTAAAAAAGTCTTCCATCCTTCCTGTAGAAAGTGCTCACTGACTCTGCTGCTGCCTCTATTTCTTAACAGTTCACACATACATATGAGCATAAAAATAAATATTTATAAATATATGTATTTCCTTTTTAGATTTTTAATTTTGCAATAGATTAAACTCAGGGCACTGAACATGGTAGGTGCACTCTATCACTGTACAGTGTCCCCAGCTTATTAATTAATTAATTAATTTATTTATTTATTTATTCATTCATTCATTCATCCGTCCATTCATTCATTCATTCATCTATTTATTTATTTTGCTGTCTGGCCTGGTACTCCTTATGAGCATAGAGAGGCTTCAAATTTGAAGTTATCCTGCAATCTCAGCCTCCAGCATGTTGGAATTACAGGTGTGCACCACCACACCTAGCTTATTTACTTTCTTTTATTTTTATGTGTATGAGTGTTATGCCTGCATGTGTAAGTGCACCCGTAGCATGCAGTGCCCATGGAGGACAGAAGAGGGCATAAGATTCCCTAGAACTGGAGTTACAGACTGATGTTAGCCAACATGTGGGTGCTGGGATTCAAACCCAGGTCCTCTCTAAGAGCAGTCAGTGCTCTTAACCACTGAGCCATCTCTCTAGTCCCCTTTTTAGAATTTTTTTGAAAGATACTATGTCTAGGATTGTGAAAACAAACATACTTAAGAAGGAAGACACTTCAATGATAAAGAGCTCTGAATTAAACTAGTTTTTGCTGATAAGTAATTGAATGCTTATAATGCAGGTTACAGGTTCAAAGAGAAGGGGGCAGGCAGGGATGCAATTCATGGCAGAGTGACTAACCAACATGTCCAAGGCCCTGGGTTTGATCCCAGCGAGAGGAAAAAAGAAAAAGAAAAATTCGCCTCACAGAAATGGCTTTTGCAAATGAACTACTTTTTCGGTTTTGGTTTTTTGGTTTTTTGGTTTCTTGGGGGTCTTTTTGAGATAGGGTCTCCCTGTAGCCCCAGCTGGCCTGGAACTCTCTAATGTAGACCAGGCTGACCTCGAACACAGAGATTTGCCTGCCTCTCACATGCTGGGATTAAAGGCATGAGCCACTACATGGCTTGAACTACTTTTTCTCTAAACAAATTGGCTTAGTTCAAATCAGCAGTCACAGCCTACATTATACCTTAATCATGAGTGATAATCACTTTTAATAGTCTGGTATATATTTCACACTTTATGCATAAAATATGGTTTTATAATATATAGGCTGTTCATTATTCATAATGGTCAAAAGGCAGAAACAGAGGCCAGCAAGATGTACATGGTATAAGGAGAAAAATGACTCCCCAGGGCTCAGCAGGTAAAGGCAGTTGCCACTGAGCCTGATGACCTGAGTTCAATCCCTGGGTGGTATAGTGGAAGGAGAGAACCAACTCCCATAGGTTATCCTCTGACCGTCACTATATTCATACACACACACACACATAGACATATGCTAAGTAAATAAAATGTAGCAAAAAAATAAATTTTTAAAAGGAGAACTGAATCCCACAAGTTGTCTTCTGACCTCTATTCATATGTCACGGCACTCCCTCCAAAAAATAAATAAATAGAAAAGTAATTTAAAAATTTAAAGGCAAGTCAGGTGTGTTGGCACATGTTTTTAGTTCCAGCACTCAGGAGGCAGGGGCAGGTGGATCACTATGAGATCAAGGCTAGCCTGGTCTACATAGTGAGTTCCAGGCTAGCTAGGGCTATGGGGAGACCCTGTCTCAAAAAAATTAGCCCCCCCAAAAAAATTAAAGGCAAAAACTGTAAAAACAACAGATACATAAATAAACTGTGGTTTATTTATACAGGAAAATATTATTTACCAATGAAAAACAATGAAATACTGACACATGCTAAAACGTGTTAATCCTGAAAACATCAGAAAGATGTCAGTTACTAACGACCACACATTACATGACCCTGAACACAAAATGTTCAGAATAAGCAATCCATAGCAACAGAAGTAGACTGATGGAGGAACTTAGCATCAGGAGTGGGAGAATGAACGGGAGTTGGGGAAGCACTGCTGGAAGGGAGGTAATTAGGTTGTGAAGGTAGTTGAACTGCTGTGTGAAAACTCTTTAAATCATTGAATCATACACGTTTTTGGAGACAGAGCTCATGTAGCCCAGGGTGACCTCAAACTATATAGCTGAGGCTGGTCTTGAATTCCTGATCCTCCTGCCTCCAGTTCCTAAATGCTGGAATTACAGGCATGAGCTACCACATCTAGCCAAATGATACACTTTAAATGGGCAAATTATATGGTCTGTGAATCTTCTCTCCAAGCAGTTAAAGTGAAAAATCAGGCTAGCCTTTATCTGCTTCCTCCTTGTGTGCCACTAAGCTCCACAACTGCACTGCTAATCACCCATGTCCCACCACATGAACACACTGGCGTTTCCTTAATGCTCTACCATTAACAGACCTTATCTCCAGTTGCTGAGCTGAGCATCCAAAATAATGCCTGTACTTGCCTTTGTACAACTGTACAATTTTCATAGGCGATAAAGGGAACCGTGTGCAAAGGGGCTGTGCTGTGTGATGCATTCTGCGAGGCTGTCCTGCAGAAAGTCCACACTAACACTTATCCCAGTTGGAAACAAGAATACTCCTGTACTTTCCACCAATGTATCAGCAAACTTAACTAATCTCTGGAGAAGATTAACAGTAGACGATGACAGGCAATATTTCAAAACAAGCATTATTTTGATTACTGAATGAATAGCATTTTATGACCATTAGGTCATTTTATTATGAAATAATCTATATTTCTATCTTTTGTCTGTTTCTATTTTTTATTTTATAAAAATATACTTATTTATTTATGTCTTTATTTTTGTGTATACGTATGAGGATGTGTGGCTGCATGTGTGGAGGTCAGAGGACAACTTGTGGGACTTGGTTTTCTCCTTCTACCGTGTAGTTCCCAGGGATCAAACAGGTCATCCAGCTTGGTGGCAAGCACCTTTACCTGCTAAGCCATCTTGCTGACCCTTTTTCTATTTTTGTTTCTTTGGGTTTTTTTTTGAGACACCATACAGCACTGGCTGGCCTGAAACTAGCTACGCAAACCACACAGACTCAAACTCAAGATTGGCATCCTGTCTCTGCCTGCCTAGTGTCGGAATTAGAGGAGTTTGCCACCATGTCTGGCTTGCTTCTTGTCATTTTGTTTCCTGACACTTGCTACTGTTTCTATTGTCTTTTTATGTTGCCTATGTCTCCCTACACATTCTGGTTTTGTAAATACATAAATCTTTCTCCTTTCTATTTTCTTTCTTTCAAGATGAGATCTCACTATATAGCTCTGGACTTGAACTTGCTATGGAGACCAGGTTGGCCTCAAACTCTCTGCATCCCAAGTGCTAAGATTACATGCACGTATGACTATCACATCCAACTTAGTTTTTTCTTTGATTCCTGGTCTTACTGCCTACTCTTTACCATCCCAATAGCAAAAGAAATTCTATATTTTAAAATATTTTATGTGTGTGTCATTTTCTTTTAATATTTCATGTGAATAATCCATTTGTTACCTACTGACTTATAACCATTGGCATACTGAATTCCTCAGGTCTGGCCTGTGAATTCTGTTCAGAGGTGACTTACCTAACTGTTGAGCCCATATTATGGCAGTGCCCGTGTCTCCCGCATTGCCTTCGGCTAAGCAAACAACTTCTTGTCCAATCTTCCATCCAATTAATGGATAAAAGCCTTAAAAAGCAAGCCAGTAAACGAGCAATGTAAGTCATATGACAAATACACAGCTTATTAGAGCAACTATCACAGTGAAATGATTTGATGATATAAAATTGCAAAGTGCTTATGCAGTAAGGCTGCTTGAGTTTTGTCAAATCCCAGCCTTTCACTGGGTTTGATCTTTCATGTTTACCTACCCCAGAGCTGCTGTAGCATAAACTGAATTAATACATAAAAAGAATTCAAGCAAAATGCCTGGCATATAACACATACAATAAAAGTAAAGTGTGGGAGGTTTTTTTTGCTTTTGTTTTTGTTTGTTCTGCTGTCGATTGATTGGTCTGGGTTTGAGGGGCTGGGATTGAAGTCAGGGCCTTGTGAATGCTAGGTAGGTGTTCTATCACTGAGCTACAGCTCTAGCTCCTAAATCTTAGTTATTAGTTATAGGCACATCTATCTCTCTAAAAACATGACAATAAATATTTCAATTATAAAATAAAGGTTGCCAGAGATATTGGTTTGCTAACTACACTCTACTGTTTATCTGTGGTTTCCAAAGCTCCTCAATTCAAACACTGTAATGCTTGATCAACATTTTCTAGTTTTGACTCTCCCACTTAAGGGAAAAGGATCAGATTTGGGGGTGGGGGGGATGGTGAAGATAGGAAAATTATTTTTTACTTATTTTTATGTATATGCGTGTATTGCCTGCATGTAGGTAAACGCACCCGTCCATGCAATGCCTGTGGCAGTCAGAAGAGGCTGTCAGATCCCTCAGGACTGGAGTTACGGACAGTTGTTAGCTCCCATGTGGGTGCTGGGATTCAAACCTGGTTCTTCTGCAAGAACAGCCAGTGTTCTTAACTGCTGAGCCATCTCTCCAAACCCAGAAAATTATTTTTCTTTAAGACAGGGTTTCACTATGTAGCCTTGGATGGCCTGTAACTCACAAGAATCCACTTGCCTTGGCCTCTGGAGTGCTGAGATTAAAGACATATGCCACCATACCCAGCCAGGAAAATGATTTTTAAAAACAACTTGGAATATGCTGGGGATGCAGCTTAGTTGATACAGTGCTTACCCAGCATGCATGAAGTCCTTAGTTCAATACCCAACACCACATAAAACCACATATGGCAGCAAAGCCTATAATCCCAGTACTGGGGAAGTGGAGGCTGGAGGATCAGAAGTTCAAGGTCATCCATGGCTACCTATCTAGCTCAAGGCCAGCCTGTGCTACATAAAATCCTCAAAAAACTAAAGAAGACTTAAGGTTGTACTGATCACTACTTGGCAATTACTATCCCCCAAAAAAGGTCACAGAGAGCACATTTTCTATATGGTTTTTTTCCTAGCACATAGAAAGAAAACACTGGGGTTATAGTTCAATGTTCAATACTTGTCTACCAAGTATAATGTCCTGAGTTTGAGCCACTGCACATACCACACCACACCACACACATACACACACACACACGCATGCACGCACGCATGCACACACATGCACACACACAATGCAAAAGAGGGGGCAGGGGGGAAAGAAGTATAAAGCTGGGCATGGTAGGACACATTTTTTAATCCCAGCACTTGGGTGGCAGAGGCAGGTGGATCTCTGTGAGATTGAGGCCAGCCTGGTCTCCATAGTGAGTTCCAAGCCAGCTGTGGCCTGCCCCCCCAAAAAAAAAAAAAAAAAAAAAAAAAAAAAAAAAAAGAGGTAAAAGGAGGGGGAGGGAGGGAGGGAGGGAGAGAGAGAGAGAGAGATAGAGAGAAAGAGAGAGAGAGAGAAATAGATTTAGAGTCCAACATGTAACATTTGGAAAGCAGATTAAAATACCCTAATCCTTCTGAATTTTTTTCTGCGAACAACTTTGTTTTTAATGCTGCTAATTTAATCTTTTTAATTTGAAAAAAATGGGGATTAACTGTCTCTAAGGATAATAATGTGTTAAAGAATATCCTTAACATAAAATGGGGAAATGATGTAAGTACCAAAAAAAACAAATATGTGGAGTACAATTTTATTTTATTAAAAGACACATTCTGGGGCTGGGGAAGTGCTCAGTGGTTAAAAGCCCTGACTGCTCTTACAGAAGACCTGGGTTTGAATCCCAGCACCCACATGGCAGCTAATACCTGTCTATCTCCAGCTCCAGGGGACCCAACACCCTCTTCTGACCCTCGAGCACTGCACCACAAGGGTGCACATACATACATGCAGGCAATAAAGTCACACAGATAAAATAAAAATAAATAATAAATAAAATATATTTTTTAAAAACATACATTCTAATTACTTACCTCCTTTGGTATGATGAGGGTTATTTCCAGTATTAATATCCATAAAAGTTCCAGTTCCCATGGTTAATTTCACATCTCCTGTCTGGAAGCAGCACTCTCCAAACATGGCTGATTGCTGGTCACCAACCTATGGAAATAGTCACCTTTCAGACCCACACCTTAGCACCACCTACTTCATTCCATCGCACTCCCTGCTTACTACAGTCTCTACTAGGCACCTCATTTTTCTTTTTTGCCATCTCCTCAAGTTAAAAACAAACCGACTCTAAGAACAGCTGCAGCAGCAACACTCACCCAGGGCCTCTCTGGGCTGAACACTGTGTGGATGACTGATGTGCCTGAGGGCTTTCTAATGCTAGCCTACTTCATGACTTTCAAGAAAGGAATAATTTTAGAAATGTCAGAAGAAAAATTCTACAGAAAAAAACTAAGTTTTTTTTTCATTTTCAATTTAAAGAGGTTATTCAAGATAACCGATCTCCCAGATTTCTCTTTGAGTGATAGAAATATAGTAAATAAAAATAGAAGTCAAAACCACTCCTTTCCTAAACATGTATTTCTTGTTAAAAGGAAAATTATAATTTTTCTATTATAGTTAAATATGAATATAGATAAAGCTATTTATTTAAATTATTGTGATGTTGGAGGCTGAGCCCAGGACTTCATGTGCTATAAAAGTTCTCCTTCACTAAGTTACACACTCAATCCTATTTTTATTCTTAGAGACATGTTGTGGTGTTTTCTAGGCTTAGCCTAGAACTCCTCTCCTGTTTCAGTTTCCTGAGTAGCTAGAACAACAGGCACACATCACTGAAGAGTGCTTGACTCACCAGCACCATCTTAAACAAACAAAATAAAATTTGGGACAGCTATATGGCTAGGTGGGCAAAGACACTTGCTACCAAGCCTGATAACCTGAGTTCAATTCCCAGGACCCACATAGTAGAAGGAAAGAACCAGCTCCTGCAAGTTGTCCTCTGGCCTTCACATGCACGCTTGTGGTATGTACACATGTGCACACATGCACATGCATACACACACAAACAAACAAAATAAATGTTTAAAAAAATAAAATAGGGGCTAGAGAGATGGCTCAGCAGTCAAGAACACTGGTTGTTCTTGCAGAAGACCTGGGTTCAAATCCCAGCACCCATAGCTAACTGTTCACAACTCCAGTCCCAGGGGATCCGACAGCCTCTTCTGACCTCCATGGGCATTGCACAACATGGGTGCACTTACCCACATGCAGGCAATACACACGTATACATAAAAATAGTAAACAACA